CCGGCTTCCCGACGCTCCAAGACGGGCAAAGAGGCCCCAAAGATAGCCCTAAGATGGCCCAAGAGGCCCCCAAGACGGCCTCCAGACGGCCCAAGACGGCCCCAAGACGGCCCAAGAGGTCCCCAAGACGGCCCAAGAGGGCCGATTTGGAGGGGGGGAGGGGGCCGGGACGAGCGCAGCACGGCCGGGACGAGCGGTTCCAGGGCTTTTCCGGGCCCAAGAGGGCCTCAAGACGGGCCAAGAAGGCTCCAAGAGGCCTCCAAGACGGCCCACGAAGGCTCCGAGACGCCAAACGACCCCTCCAAGACGCCCAAGATGGCCCCAAGACGGGCCAAGAGGTCTCCAAGGCGGCCCCCGAGGTCCCATACAAGTCTCCCAAGAAGGCCCCGAGAGTCTAAAATTGTTGATTTTCCATCGTGTTCTTCGACGTTTTTTGCTTTTCCGCCTTTCCGGCTTCCCAACGCTCCAAGACGCGCGACGAGGCCCCAAAGATAGCCCCAAGATGGCCCAAGAGGCCCCCAAGACGGCCTCCAGACGGCCCAGGACGGCCCCAAGACGGCCCAAGAGGTCCTCAAAACGGCCCAAGAGGGCCGATTTGGAGGCGGGGAGGGGGCCAGGACGAGCGCAGCACGGCCGGGACGAGCGGTTCACGGAGCTTTTCCGGGCCCAAGAGGACCTCAAGACGGGCCAAGAAGGCTCCAAGAGGCCTCCAAGACGGCCCACGAAGGCTCCGAGACGCCAAACGACCCCTCCAAGACGCCCAAGATGGCCCCAAGACGGGCCAAGAGGTCTCCAAAACGGCCCCCGAGGTCCCAAACAAGCCTCCCAAGAGGGCCCCAAGAGTCTCAAATTGTTGACTTTCCATAGTGTTCTTCGACGTTTTTTGCTTTTCCGCCTTTCCGGCTTCCCGACGCTCCAAGACGGCCAAAGAGGCCCCAAAGACAGCCCCAAGATGGCCCAAGAGGCCCCCAAGACGGCCTCCAGACGGCCCAAGACGGCCCCAACACGGCCCAAGAGGTCCCCAAGACGGCCCAAGAGGGCTCCAAGACGGCACCACGAGGGGCCCAAGAGGGCGACCAAACATGTTGAAACTCTAGCTTTCTGCCCCCAGGAGCCCCAGGGGGCCCCAAGAGTGCCCCAAGAGGCCCCCAGAGGCCCTCACGAGGCCGCCCAGACGCCCCAAGGAACCCCCAAGAAGCACCCCAGAGGCTCCGAAACGGCCCCCGAGTGGCTCCAAAACTCGCAGTGTCGCTGTCCGCTCGGACCTCCCCGCGGAACTGCCCGAGACCCTCTGGCGGTGGCGGCGAACAGACACCAAACAAATATCACTCGCCTTTTCACCCCTTCGCAGCTTCTACTACCCCCAGATTGGCATAAACAAGGGGTCGGCGGTGTGGCGTAAGCCTAAGAATCATGCGTTGTCGCCGGGTGACGTTGGTGAAATTTGTCTCGTCTGGGTGCAAGGCCGCATTGTGCTGATTCGATCTTGAGGTCGCGCAATAAGCTTTTCAGCTGGCGCGGAGTCGGTGCACATAATAATACGTCGTCTGCAAAACGGAAGTTGGTGAAGAGGGCGCCTGCGGTGGGCCCATCTGTATGCCAAACTGTTTTTGCGCCATGTGGCATTCGTGTGTAGAAAGATGTGTTCAAGTAGTGCGTCGAAGTAGTGAGCTTAGTGGATCTCCTGGTTTCACACCACGCTGGATGTTGAACTTTCTGCTGGTGCTGTCTGTCCGTGCCGTAGCAGGTTGGTCGGTGTAGAATTGCTGGAGGAGGTGGATGTCGGATGTCGGCACCTGCTGCGTACTGAATGATTGCCGTAGTGCGTCGTGGCTGACACAATCGAATGCTCTCTTAAAGTCTATCGCCGCGACCCATAGTGGTAACTGCCATTCCTCTGACTGGTTGTGCAAGAGCGCCGTCGTGAATAAGGAGTCTTCGGTGCTGTAGCCGTGTCTGAAGCCTGCTTGGTCCCCGCTTGCCTGTTTGTCTAAGAGTGGTCCCAGTCGGTTGTACAGACGTCGATACATAAGCTTGTGCAGGAGAGGGATGATTGCCATTGGCCTGTATTTCTGAAACAGCTTGGGGTCTCCTGATTTGAAGATCACGGTGACTTCCACTGTTATGGCGGTAGTTGTTCAGGGTGGTGTCATTGAACAAACATTGCAAATGTTATTCAATGCACGCCCCGCCTGCCTTCCGCATTACTGCAGTGATCCCAGCTATGTCCTTGCATGTGCCATGTTTGAGTTTTTTGGTTGCTTGGTGTATATCTTCCTGCGTAAAGGGTGACATTTGTTCGGGCTTCGCTTCGGCTCCTTGGTTCCCGCGGCAGGACCGGCAACCTTGCTTCGAAGGTCCGTTGCTGGAGTCCTTTTTTCGGTAACATTGTTCGTAGAACGCAGCGGGAATATCAGCGATGCTTCGTCGGTCGGTCTCGTCGTAGCCGTCTTGTCAGTCATTGACGGTATCATGTCTTTGTGCTTCGTCGTTCTGATGCCCGCCAACTTCCGAAGGCCTTTGAAGTTGACAGTGATTTCATTGAATTGCTCTTGCTGCCGAGCCCGCTTTATAGACCGCAGTTCGCTGAATATCTTCTTGCTGATATCTTTGCGGGTCGTAGTGTCTGCCTGTGGCGCTTTGCGCCGTTGTGCGATGAGGTCGTGGAGCTGTTTGGCGCGTTCGTAGTCGAGTGCTCGGCGGTAATCATTGGGATGGGAACTCTGTGTCTCGTAAGCTTTAGTCGCAGTGTTCAGTGCTCGTTCTGTGTCTGCGCACCTCTCGCTGACAGTAGATGCTTGCGGATGTGCTTGCAATGACTTTGCTAGATGCTGTTGGAAATCTGAGTCGTTTGCTGGTGGTCGCCCAGACGGGGTTGGCCTTGTTTTCTTATGTCGTCGTCGTCGCCTCCTCGTGGTGGTATACAAAGTCAAGTCGCATATGAACAACTTGGTGGTCAAACCCAAGGTCTGGACATGCAAACGCATGAGCGTCTAAAACAATATTGCGACATGCCGGACGATGAGGATGTAGTCAATATGTCAACGTGTCTTGTCCGAGCTGTTACTGGTATGTGTAAACATGTAGTGCGGAAGTTTGTAGACATGCGTGTTCGCGATCAACAGCTTCTCCTTGATTACCCAAGCCCATAGCCAAGTCTCCTGGGTATTGAAAGCTTCCATCCCGAATTTACCAATTACACTGCGAGATCTGTCGTGAATGCGATCATCGCAGATATCGTCGTCTGTTTGCTCATGAGGAGACAGGGGGAAGAGGCAAAAGGAAAAGGCAGGAGGACGGGGAGGAGGAGGAGGCAGGAACACAAGGCAGGACGAGGAGGCAGGAGGAAGAGGAGGCAGAAGGAGGGGGGGGGAGGAGGAGCAGGAGAAGGCAGGAAGAGGAGGCAGGAGGAGGAGTAGGGAGGGATGGCGGAGGAGCACGAGGATGCAGGAGGCAAGAGCAAGGCCTCCGCAACCCCAACAACCACACTCTCAATCAAACTAGCATTGAGTCGAGCCTGTCCCCCTACAGGGGGATGTTCGACGAAAACTAAAAAATACCAAAAAATACCCCAAGATGGTCAAACAATATTCAAAACATAGTCCCCAGACTATTTTTGGACAATTTTTTGACTATGTTTGGGGTATGTTGTATTTTTCGTCGAAAATCCCCCTGTAGGGGGACAGGCCCGACTTAAAACTAGAAAGATTCTCGTGCGGGGCCCTGCCGTCGGAATATGTTTCGCAAATTTCTGGCATCCAGGAACAGTTTCCCGACCCTGGGGCCGCCAAAGAACAACTCGGGATGAAAAGCCAATGGCGTGGAAGGGGTCGAGATCCCGAGGGGCCCACGCCACGGAATAATTGCGATGACGGGGGAGAAGTTTCGGATCATCGCCGTCGTTGTCGTCGTCGTCGTCAGAGACATGGGAGGTGGTGGCGTCGGCGTCGCTGTCGAAGACGTGAGGTCCTTTCTCGACGCCACGGCTGCACGTGGCCGAGAAAACTTGCCAGGATGAACCCCCGGAGGGCTCTGGGGGCAAATTTTGGGCGGACTTTTGTAGGGGCAAGACGAAGGAGGCGGAGAGCGAGAGTTCCTTCTCTCTCGAGAGATCCATCAGGGTACCTCCCGCGGAGATCTCCTGGAGACCGTGGGGACCTCCGGAAACCTCTGGAGACTTCCTCCTCATGGGGAGGGGCGCTCGGGCCGGCGGGCAGCTGGGCATCTTCACTGTGGCAAGTTTGACCTCGGATCTCCTCTGCTCGCGCGCTACGCGGCACCTAGCGCCAGCCATGCGGGGGCGAGATCAGAATTGCTGCAGTACTGGCACACATGTGTCGCATGCACGCTGCGCGTAAAAGACGCGTCGAGGGCAGCGTCGAGAAGAAGACCCGACAGTACAGTAGTAAAGGGGCCCAGGGACACACACACAGTCACACACACACGCACACACACACACACTCATAAATAAACACAAAGCCCATGATTCCCATCTTTTTGCATTTTCCGTGTTTTCGTCTCCCCCCCCCACTTACCATATTTTCTCATATTCTCCTGGGTGTCGACGATTACTTGTGTCCCTGCTGAAGTGGTCACATACGGCAGTAGTCTTACTATGAGTCTGGGGGCACGTTTGTCATCAAACTTTGGGCTACTTGAGGTGCCCCAGGCCTTCTGCGGGACCCCCCCTGGCCATCGGCGGATGCGAGACTTCCGTGGGGCACGTGCTGACAGGCCAGTTTCGCATTTTACGTGCCTACTGCACAGTAGGAGCCCGACCACAAGAAACCTTCCGCCAGAAACCCAACCCTGAGACCCCCAGACGTTTATTAGTGGTTATTGGTGTGGGAACGTCACGCTGTCCACGGCAAAACCATCGAAATCCAAGAAACCCAGGGCACCCTGGAGGCAAGCGAGGTGTTTCTTGGCATGGGTCTCCACTGTATTCGAATGCAGCTTGCGGCTCAAACCCACCCCCCTGCGTAGGAGCCCCCAGGCGCCTTGCGAACTCCAATGACCTCGCAGATACTGTGCACCTCATCGATAAACTCACTGCGCTGAACCAGGGCATCCTTGTTGCGATCCATGTGCTCGAACTTGATCTTGGAGTCCGTCACGAAGTCTTCTGAGAGCTGCGCGAGCACCGTAGCGCAGCGCTGGAAGTCCTCCAGGCCGATGGCGTCCCCACCTCGGCAGCACCCCCGCAGATCCAGGCCGAGCCAAGGCCTGACCCCGATCCCCCTCTCCAACTGTCCGAAATTCTGGCTCATCGGGTCCGACCCCGATCGATGGAGAGGCCGGGCGACCCAGCGCCCCCGCCCCCGAGCGGCGCATCCAGAGGAAGAAAAAAACGGCATGCACACAAACTGTTGGCGCTCCACGCGGATTTCTTGGCTCTGCGCTGGGCCCCCCTCCCTGGCGCGCTCCGCGCGCCAGGGGCGGCGCCGGAGGCGCCGCCGCGGGAGCACAGCGCGAATCCAAGAATTCGCGCGGAGCGCCAACAGTTTGTGTTTACGTATGCCGTTTTTCAACTTCCTCGAGCAGCGAGGCATTTAAGAGCCCATGCCCTGTGCCAAGGTGTTGAAGACTTCCGCCGCCGCTGCATCGATCTCCCCCCTCCGGGGCGTGGCGGCCGAGGGCCTCCGCGAGCCAGCCGGCGTCGTGGCCATCGCGGCGGCGCGCCACGCCGGCGGCGGCCGCACCTTCCGAGCGGGGCGCGGTGAAGGTGGGGAGAGCTACAGTCGGACCGTATCATCAGGATGCGCGATAAGGATGACAAGGCCCTGGACGCCCATTTCGAAGATTCTCGAGGGAGGCGCGGCCAACGCGAGTGGCCTGGGCCAAGGGTGGGCCGAGGAGGGAAGGATGCAAGGATCACCCTTGGAAAGGTGGCCCATCCTCACTATGCGGGCTGACTGCACAGGGAGCACGAGCGGGCCAGGTGTCAGAGTACAGTCAAGAGCAGTCCACAAGAAACCCACCGCAAGAAACCCAGCCCTTCAAAGTCGCCCAAGTTTCTGGGGCTGGGGTTGCGTTTCTCGCTCGGCGCTACCAGCGAAGAAACTCAGGACACCCTGGGCCAGCCGATCTACTGATGGCTCGCGCTAAGCATCTCAGCGTCAAGACACTCAAGGTACCCCGCCAGCTGCGGCTTTACGCGACCGCTGCACGCATCCAGTGCGAACGCTGCAAAGACGCAGCGCCCCTGGACGTCCCTGACTGAGGGTACGCGAGGGTGGTGTCTGGCCAGCCTGGCACAGCATCTTGTCCCCGGGGACAGGCTCATAAAGTTGGCTCGGGGGTGGCGGGAAAGCCAAAGATGCAAAAGGGTAAGGTTGGAAGCTCACTTCCTCCAAGAAACCACAGATTTGTAGCTCGTGGCATTCGTTTGACTGGCTGGATGGCACATCCTCTTTTTCCAAGGTGCTGAGCCGCGAAGCTCTTGCACGAGTTCCAAAGAATCCTAAAGCGGCACTTTCTCAAACTTGGCTGCACTGTGTGCAACTGACAGAATATTGTCGCCGCCGTCCTCTCCATCCTCCCTTTTCCTCTGCTCGTATGTTCCTTCACCCCGCCTCTTGCTCCTCCTCCTCCTCCTCCTCCTCCTCGCTCCTCCCTCCTCCCTTCTCTTACAACTTCTTCCTCCTCCTCTCCTCCTCATTCTTCCCTCCCCTCTTTCCATGCGACAGTAACCCTTCCGATGCAAATTTGGTATGTTTCGTTGTCGTCGTCCCCCTTGTCCTATTCCCTCCTCCACCTCCTCCTCCTCCTCCTCCTCCTCCTCCTCCTCCTCCTCCTCCTCCTCCTCCCCCTCATTTTCCCTCTTCTCCTTCTCCTCCCTCCTCCTCCACCTCGTCCTCCTCATCCCTCCTCCTCCTCCTCCTCCTGCTGCTCCTCCTCCTCCTCCTCCTCCTCCTCCTCCTCCTCCTCCTCCTCCTCCTCCTCCTCCTCCTCCTCCTCCTCCTCCTCCTCCCCTCCTCCTCCTCCCCCTCCTCTCCTCCTCCTCCACTTCCTCCTCCTCCTCCTCCTCCTCATCCGCCTCCTCCTCCTCCTTACTCCTCCTCCTCCGCCTCCTCCTCCTCCTCCTCCTCCTCCGCCTCCTCCTACTCCTCCTCCTCCTCCTCCTCCACCTCCTGCTGTTCCTCCTCCTCCTCCTCCTTCTCCACTCTTCCTCCTCCTCCTCCTCCTCCTCCTCCTCTCCCTCCTCCTCCTCCTCCTCCTCCTCCTCTCCTCCTCCTCCTCCTCTTCCTCCTTACTCCTCCTCCTCCTCCCTCCTCCTCCCTTCCTCCTCCTCCTCCTCCTCCTCCTCCTCCTCCCCCTCCTCCTCCTCCCTTCCTCCTCCTCCACCTCCTCCTCCTCCTCTACCTCCTCCTCCTCCTCCTCCTCCTCTCCTCCCTCTCCTCCTCCTCCTCCCTTCCTCCTCCTCCTCCTCCTCCTCCTCCTCCTCCT